GATTCACCCATTGTCTTGTTTTCATTCCTGATGCATTGTTCATTATTTGTTGGTCACTAGAAGCAGCTGCTACCAGAACGACCTGCAACAGCACCACCATCGATCATCGATCCTCATCCATCCTCATTAATCATCATCATAATCATCATCATCATCATCATCAACAACAACAACAACGACAACACAATCCTCCTCGCCCTTCCCCCTCCCCCTCTTCACCACCCCACAATTTCTATAATGCCTCCCAACTCTGGCTGAGGATAAAACAACTTCTGGCTGAGGATGCTGCTCTGGAGGGGACCAAGGACTGGTGGCGGCGGGGACTGGCCTTACGTGCCTGGAATGTTCAGGTTTTGATATGGTTTGACATGGAAAACATGGCGGATTTGTACCAATGTTTGGGCCCTGTTTCAACAGGGGGAAGCATGTGACGCAGTTATTAGGTTATATTTATTTATGATATTATATATATATAAATATTATTTAATTTTATACTATTTGCTCCTTAAAATATGCATGTGCTCTACTCTGTTTCCTTGACTGCTCACATACATGCACCAGGAACAGCGGCAGAGGGCGGAAGAGGAGATGCAGCAGATGCGTCAGCAGGAGACGGAGGAGAGACTGCGTGCGGAGCAGCGACGCGCCAAACTGGAAGAAGAAATGGAACTGGAAGAGATGCTGGGAAGCAAAAACTTGGTCAACCTTGGATGGGTGGGTTGGTACTTTATTATACGTTAATTCTTTTGGCTATTAACGGGGATGCACACTAATCCGGATAATCGGGGCATATCGGGGCGTGTTTTTCCTTTGCGCCATGCTGGTTAACATCTTTTGAAGCTGGCTTTCTAGTGTCTGAACATGTCGCAACATGTTCATACTTTCCGAGCACAGCGCACAGCTGTTTGAAGTCCTCCTGGGTGCTTCAGCCCTCCAAGGGAAAGGGAAGAGTTTACAGATGTCGACTTCGCGGAGAGTTTGATGTTGCTGGGTGGCATCTCTTTTGTGATGACCCTGTTCTACCTGGTGAACGATGAGGATCCAGACATGAGATTCTACAGTTGGCGGGTCATCAGCGCCACTCTGTCGATTTTTTCTGCTGTGTTGATCTTTAGCGGTATCAACAAGCTGAAGCTTGGAAGTCATTTGTGGTGGGAAGTGGTAGGGAGGAGTTGCCGGTGTATTTTTGTGTTTGTCATGTCACGGAAATGGATGCCAGAATTTAGGAGTTGCAGGTTGAAGCTATTGTAGGTGATTTCCTTTCTTGTACAGTATGTATAACTATATATATTTGTTTTGTGCAACTACTCGACAGTCAGATTTTTCGTGGACCCTCGATCCGTAGGAAAGGGCAGATCCTAAGGTGCCGGTAGAAGATATCTATGTAACATTATGTAACTGTATATGAACAGTGTTAAAACATGTCCAAAGTAGAAGAGGTGGTGACTTGCCAAGCCCGTTGGACGGATATTGTGATGAAGGTCTGTATTTTCCTTGGCACCCAGAAAGAAGCAAGGACGACGCCAAAAAAGGTGCGTTTGGAAGGTGACTGAATTGCCATGTTTGTGTGTTTGTATTAATTGACTCACCAACTTCTTTCCAATCTTTCCATCACTTTTTATTCCGTAAGTCTTGGATCCACACCAGGATTCATTTCTACCTGCTGTCACATGGTACCAGCCCCAGCTTCAAACTGCTCTTTGCGTTCATCCCCATGCTGATCTACTTCTTCCTGCTGCAACTGGGGACAGCCTACCACAGTGCCGCTCTCACAGCGGCACCGGCTGTGATGGAAGAGAAAGAGTTGGAAGAGACATGGGAAGCTGGGCAGCAAGCCATAGGGAGCCTAGGGAATTACGTGTAGGTCAGTACAGTAGATGTATATAGATGTTATGTTAATGTGGTAACGCAGTAGTTCATAGTTTGATAAGTTTAATAGTTAAATATACGATTGCGTGCGTGTTAATTATTTTTTGTGTGGGACTGATCCCAAAGTTTCACAATGTTCCAAGGTACTAGCAGGATAGTTCCCCTTGCATTGGAGCTCTTGTCCAAAACAACTGACGTGGCTAGCTGGCTAGTGGTTTCAAATATCCTATGTTGTTCCATCGCCCATGTGGAAACCCCAAGGAAACATGGTTCAAACGTGCTACATGTGTTATATGGTTGATGTTGATGTGGGCATGGCTCACAATCCTTGACCCCATTTCGGGATAATTAAATGGAAACACATACATTCACACACAAAAATGGACAAGACCAACATATGCATATTATATGAACATATATGTGTAAGCATACGTAAATATACATATATATATATATACATATGTGTATGTGTGTCTATAGGGGTCCAATTCCCGCCATGTTTTTTTCCGCCGTGGCCATGTGATCCATCAGTCGCTCCGGTCCGCCTGCGTTCAACGCTGGAACGCCAGGGGAAGTTGGAACGCCGCACCAGATGCTGGGCCACGATCTTAGCGCACCTCACTGGCTTCGGATCCATCCATTGCGGAACGGCTCCCTGGTGGAACTGCTGGAGACAGGAGATGTGATGATCCGATGGCTTGGGAGTAGCACTGGATAGCGGAGATCGTGTTGGTATGAGCCAAGATATTGCGTAGCTGCCGAGCTGGCTTGTAAGACTCATACTGGGACATAGGTCATTGCCATGCAGACCTGAAAAGAACATAAAGGAATTGCATATTTGAATATATGGTTCCTTTTGTTGACATGCTGAGAATTATATCAGAGTACATCCTTTTATATCGGAATTCTCATCCAACCAATCTTTGATCCTAAGTGTTTCTTTGAAATGTTTGTGATAAATCGAGAGACTCCAATCCAACGTCGCACGTGGGGATGGGTCAAGACGCGTCAAGACTTAAAAACCAAGCTGCCATTTTCGGCGAGCACGCACTAAATTTTGATGTGACAACCAGGGTATCATTGGGCACCAGGGTTTTTGTACTTCATATAGCCCCCAGAAAAGGCAATTTGGGGTGGTCGCAAAATTTGATAACGCATTCGATTCCATGGCTCTCCCAGTTTTCACATCAGTTCATTATATAGATAGAGACAATAGAAATGCGATAGCGCAAATCGGGTGCATTGGGGTAAATCCCTCATTCAGGGGGAACCTTGATGGCTACTTTAGTACAACTTAGTCTTTTGCTTTTTGATAGCTGGATATTCATCCTGATCAGCTATTTTTTTTGGGTATCTAAGATTGGCAATGTTACCAACTACCACTGGCTAAATCCCCATATACCCCCCAAACATTTTTGTTGGTCCATCATTCAGAAATGATAGATATAATCCCATCCCCCCAATATTATATAAACATCCCCTGAAATGGTCCCAATTACCCTCCGGTAAACCAACATAGCTATGGAAAATGAGTGATTTATAGTTGATTTACCCATTAAAAATGGAGATGTTCCATAGTTATATGTTAGTTTACCGGACAGTATGTGTCAATCCCGTACAAAAAGCCATGCTTTTCTCCAGCCCCGCCCCGTTTTTGGTCAGGTTCTGCAGCATATGCCCTGGCTGCGGGACAGCCCCGGTGCTTCTTTCGTCGCTGCGCCAGCGATGTTTCTGCTCGCCGCGGTGCTCAACTGGTGCGCGCGGCGCGTGCGGGAGAGGGCAGCTTGGTGACGATGGGATCAGCAAGGGGAGCTGGGGATGATGAGAATTTACTCCTGGAAAATCATGGAAAACCATGGGAAATCATGTAAAATCCCAAGCCAGCCTGGTTTTTTCCGGTATCTTAGTAGCATTTGAAGATTTCAGATATGTTCAGATCTTCAGTAATCAGAAGAATTTGTTGATGACCAATCGCCAAGCCAGGCCAGAACCTAAGAGGAGCCCGGTTTTTACCGCGGTGGGAACAATATTTTGTATGACTTCCACAACAAATGGCATTTAGAAACCAACGACCATCAGTCCCAAATATCGATTCAAGTCATAAATATCATTATCTGTCATAAATATTTGTTTGTATATGTATATAGTATTATATATATGAATTTATATATATATATATATTAAGATGTATACATATATATATGTATATATATGGCAATATATGGGTGTGTGTGTGCGTGTAAAAAGAGGGGGAGGGAGAGAGGGAGAGAGAGAGAGAGAGAGAGAGAGAGAAGAGAAGAGAGAGAACCCTTGATCTTCCCACAAAGTTTCGGGATTGGAGGAGGATCAGCTGAAGTTCCAAAGCACCAGACAGCATAAACTGTTCGCGACGGCTGTAGGTACGTGACTCCAAGACTGCGTGATTTGTGGAAGTCTGTTGTTTCATCAGTATGCATGCTCTAGAGTTGCCTTCAACTTTATATTTAAGCGGCCCACCAGAATCAAACATGTTTTCATGTTTTCCCCATAGATCTTTGGTTTCTCCAAGTCTCTCCAACTTCGATATTTCGTAAAGGTCACCTCCAAGACCTACCAGCGCCTCCCCGACTCCACCGGCTCCCACGACCATGACGTCTCCGCCTGGGCCGGAGAGTGGCAGCGCTGGACCTACGACCTGTGGACCGAGAACGTCATCGACGCGGAGCATGACTCGGCGGCGCTGGCGGTGTCCTTCTTGCTGGTCCAATCCTGTCGCTTCGCCTTCAGCGGGCAGCTGGCAGATGAGATGACGCCAGGGCAGAAGAAATCGCAGAGGACCATCGAAGAGCTGCCCGAACTGATTTTCATTATTTTTTATTTGCCCGTTTACCCAGTTTTTATCAAGATTTCTGGAAAACTCGTACCATTTGTAGGACCATGTTCCTCGTGTTTTCCATATCATTCCATATCTATGTTAATTCATTGATATTCATTGGGGGATAAGACCAAGTGTTTAGATAACTTTAGATGCAGATCTTTGATATTCTTTGAGAGGCTGATAGCTGTTTAGGGCAGGATGCGTTTGTTCGAAACGCATGACATTTATTTATCCCCACCATTAAATGTATAATTTATCAGTTGTTCTTAATTTTTTTTAAGGGAACAAACAAACATAAAAATGATAGTAGTAAAAAAACACTTGTGTGGGCCCATGGTGCCTTTATTTCGGCATTTCCGGTGTCGTTTGCAGGGAGCTGCAGGAGATCCAGGCAAAGAAGCCATTCCGTTTGGAGGAAGAAATTGTATACACAAAAAAAAAGGTTCAAAATTGCCATCAAATGCCTGACTGGTTGGTGGTTTGGAACATTTTTTCATATTTTTCCATATATTGGGAATCATCATCCCAACTGACTCATATTTTTCAGAGGGGTTGAAACCACCAACCAGCTGAAATAGATTTTCCTGGGGGAATTTTCTTTGAACAGCTTTGAATCTTGACCAAGGTTCGCAGGTTTTTCTCTTGTTTTCGCAGTCTTGAGCATTGTGCTGGTGGTTGCAGGGCGGAGGATTTTCAGGGGTAGCTTGGCACCGGCAGCGGCATCCTGGGATGGGGCTACATCTAGCTTTAAAGACCAAGTGCGACCCAAGATCAAGCAGCAAATATTTCATTTCCTGAAAACTTGTAAACTGAGTGAACAAGCTGAGCTAAGCCGTTTCCAAGATGAAACCCGGATGGCAAAGCCAGTATTTCTGTGTTTCAGTTAGACCTTGAATCATCAATCGTGATGTTGTACACATGTACATTCATTTTGTTGATGACATTTATATCATATCCAACTTTCAGCATTTATTCCGGTTTTTTGTGGTGATTTGTTGGCTTTCATCTTTATTTTCACCGGTATTTTGTTGCACATGGCAGGTGCAGCACCAACGCCCGGCACCTTGAAATCCTTCCTGCGACGTTGTTTGGCGCTGCTGCAGTGTCTTGCTGAAGCGGATGCCCGAGGATGGCCGGAGATGACCGGGCTGTCGGATTGAGGACAAACTAACTGACTAACAGATGAATGCAGATTCCCCTCTGGTAAACTAACATAACTATGGAAAATCACCATTTTTAATGGGTAATTCCACTATAAATCACCATGTTCAATAGCTATGTGAAATTAGCAGAGGGTACATGACATTACATGACTATAGTTAGATATAGTTAGTGGATGTCAGTGTGGTACCGAATGCTTGGGGGTATTTTAAAAAAGTTGCTTATGGTTCATATGGAACGTTTTTGACCGTTGAATATGGTGAAAAAAACGCGAACATGATCTTAAAATGGTTGTATGGTCTGATAGCGATGGTTAGTTGATGGCTGGCGCTGATTGTGGACACCGCCTGGTTAAATTGCTGTCATCTCACAATAGGAGTATCTATTAACCAACCATCGTGGAATGGGACGGGTATTTTTCAGTGGGATGGATATGGAGATCGAACGGCCATGGTTTTCCTCAACATCAAACGAAGGGATTTTATTCATTTAAATTATTAGGTCAGGATTTTTGAAATGGCCGACCTCGTCATGATACGAAGATAACACGACTGAAAAAAAACGACCCCAGCAAGAATGAATGTTGCATACTTTGGCAACTTTGCACAGGGGCTAAGATTAGCCATGCACAATTATGGCACGGCATATTTCATCCCTAAGCTGGCATAGCTATGGAAACTCCGCGTAAAATCCAGGTTTTGTTTCATCAACGTTCGCGAAGGCCATGGCTTCGCTATGGTTACCTGCTCAGGCTATCCTCTGCGATGGCATTCGCATGGACCTTACTCTTCAGCGCCCGCTGGGAGATTACGAGGCGAAAAATGTGGATGGCCCGCTAAAGGGCCGTGATGCCCCAAGATTATGGGGCTTCATGGGGGGGTTACCAACCCAAAAATAAGGATATCATGAGGGTACAATGGGATTATGTAACCAACAATATGAGTTGGGTTAGTCCAAAGTGGAAAGATAGGATTTTGAAAGAAGGAAGATGAAGATGAAAGATTTTGCTGGGCCCTATGTTCAGACCCTTGCACATCAAATGTGTGGCATAAAGAATTCGATGAGAAAACACAGTGAACCCGTTTCCAGAGAGCAGCTTGGAGTTGCAATTTGAAAGGCTTGGGGTAGGCAGCACAGGAAAGTATCAGTGAGTGGTTTGAAATATTGGGAGATGGTCATCAATCGATTATTTTCGGGATTAGTTCACCGACTGTGAGGATCCCCAATATGCGATTGATGGCTATCGCCGATTATAGCCCATTGATCCCATGGATTACTCCCAGTTGCCTGCTTTCCAGTTTCCATACGTTGTGTGCCAATTGATGCCTGAGCAATTCGAATTCCGAGCATAAACCACGAAATGGGATGAAATAGGTCCGTTTTTTGGCACATCTTTCAAAGATGATGAACAAAAACAAAAAGAATCAAAAAGGCTTGCATAGACAAAAGATCATGAAAGTGGGATAATTCACCCCACCACCCCTATATCCCAGAAACCATCAGGATCCCTTGAACCGACAAAGCGCCAGGTTTAGTGGCTACGTGGGGCCCCCGACGTCGCTGACCTCTCGCACCTAGCTATGGATGCCGTTCGATGATTTACTGTACTCTGAACATGGTGATATATGGTGATTTTCCAGATTATATATCACATTATGTTAAACTGTCAGGGGGAATGCCATGGTATGCCAAACTGGCCCCCTCGATATTTCCCGAACTTCATGGGATAGAACATTACAGATCATAAACATAGCATGGTATTTATGAATGACTGCTGAGCCAACATGGGCCAACACGCTCCGGGGCAGATGGTTTGCCTATGAACGACCTTGAAGATATTATTCGAAAAGCGATCACAGGCGATTTTTACCATGACCTATAAATGCACTATATATATATATATATATACACTCTGTGTGTTCATGTCCATTCTTGAGATCCCCTCGTAATCTAACATAGCTATGGAAAACCACCAATTTAACTGGTAAACTCATCTACAAACGGTCAATTTTCCATAGCTATGTTCGACTACCAGACCTTATACTGCTCTGAACATGGCTGAACAATTTACTCTTTTGACCTGCAGGCCTGTAGCCTTCTCGGTTTTGCAAACAGGTTAAAACAGATGTGTTGCTTTTTTGGGGAGCGGGATTCAATGACTAAACTTTATATTAAACGCATGGAGTGAAACTTTGAAAACATTTGAAAACTATCGCATCAGCCCCAGCATTTTATCATATGTCCATATATGTTTGGTTGGTGGTTTGGAACATTTTTTCTTTTCCCATATGTTGGGAATGTCATCATCCCAACTGACGAACTCATATTTTTCAGAGGGGTAGGTAACCCCCACCAGTATTTATGATTGCATTATGATATTCATAGCCCATATCATCCCATATTTCTGTTCATATTATGATTTATGACATTTATGGATGATGATATGACTATATAATAGATAATGAACCAACCAGATAATTATTAACCATCATCAACCATCATCATTAACCATCATCATTAACCATCATCATTAACCATCATCATTAACCATCATCATTAACCATCATTAACCATAAAATAACATAAAATAACCATATATTAACCATTATTAAGAGTATATTAACCCTGAGTCCAAAAAAAATTCACCGGCTCGCGGCTCGTCATCGTCCGTGAGGCATCAGCCTGGCATTGGCGATCTCATTCTGTGCAGCCCTGATCATCAAAATGTGGGTGATCCCAGGGTGGCTAATACGGCTCTGTTTTCATGGGGAAGAACCATGGTATAACACCCATGGGTTTTATACCCCCAAATATAGGGGCTATTTCAATAGGGAAACGTATTTAAAAACATGTTGATGTTTTTTGGGGGTACCATTTTCAGCAAACCGATATGCGTATATGGCTGTGGATTGAATCTATTTGGATTTTTACCCGGAACAGCGGACAGTTCCAAGACTAAACATGACAAATGTTGTGGGCCAATGGGAGTCCATGGGTGCAGAATGGTACTACTCAGTTTTTGCCCCCTATTTGGATCTATTTGGGATAATCATGGCCATTGACAAATTCAATCGTCCTTCTTTTCCGCTTTTTTTCGATGTTTTTTGGGATCGGTTGGGACCGTTGGGTTTGCCCCTCCTGCTTGATGCTGAAAGCAAGAATTTGTTTGTCCATTCTAGCCACTTTGGGATGGAAACCATCCAGAATGGTGGCAACATTTTACCATATATGTTGCTTAAAAAAAACAAGCAGCCTCTGGCAATTACAAGTGGAAAGTGGAAAGTGGACAATTCTCCATTCATAGATATCCTGATATACTGTAGAATTTTATAGATCATTTCCCAGCTATAAACCTGCATGTCGTGCAAGGATTTCCCACTGGAATAATTTCCCAGCGGAGCCGCAGGTTGGATTTCGTGATTGACCTGGAGAGCACCGAAGAAGATGCTGATGAAGCTCTAGGCTCCGATGGCTGAAGAAGTTTTGGCTAATAAGATGATGGGTTACTATAATGGTTAAGAATGGTTAGTGGTTATATTATAACTTATATAATAACATTATTGTAACTAATGGGTTACTATAATGGTTAAGAATGGTTAGTGGTTACTGTACCGTTTTTACCGCCATTTATAGCCTTTTATTGCCAGTACTGATGGGACTTACCCTTTGGTACACCAACAGCTTTCGAACTGGAAAATCACAATTTCTTTATAGGTCATCTATATGTCATCTATAAACTAAGGGAAGATAGACATAAACCATCGAACATAGGTATGGAAAATAACAATGTTTAATGGAGAAGAACAACTTTTTCTATGGCCATGTTCAATAGCTATGTTAAATTACCAGAGGGTAAATGAGATAATTATATGAGAGAGAGATGTGCAGATGATTCTGTCAAAATGTTGCGTTGATCAAATATTAGAGTAAGAAAATCGGATGTTAGTTTTTGCATGAAACCTCTTAAACCAATACGGGACACAGGGCGCTCACAAAGAAACGATATGTTTTCCTTGTGCAGTTGTTGTTTGAGTTGAGGATCAAAGTGGACACCCAATCCCTTCAATGCTATGCTTAAACGGAGGTAAAACAGGAAACCCTGTAGGATAGGGGGTCACTAATTTGCTGACGCACTTGACTGAAGAAAATTGAAGAAATATATTTCGACTCTGCCTGGCTCATTTAATTATGTGAGTTATTGATGTCGTTATCATCATTTTTATCATTGATTATCATTGCTACGATGATATGTGTATGCAATCATATGCGATTATATGTGCATGCACGTGCGTGTTTGTGTGCATTCACGTCCGCACAGATTTCTACATGTGTGTATGCCGATGCAATTTACAAACCACGTAGCCACCTGATCTAGGCACACAAACAACCGTACGGCCCGGAAATCTGCTCAGCATTTTGATCAATTTGTAAGATCAGTCTCTTCGTGCATGTAGTCCAAGTGTGGTGTTTGCATGTGTTTGGCATATCTTTAGAAACATCTTTGCTTCCCTTTGTGTGGCAATTCTAGTGGGGTCTACCAAAATCATTGTTCTATTGCAACGAGAGCTTTAAAATGTTTGTTGCAGACCTTCAAAAAACGTTACGTTTTTTAGAGTGTCTTTTGTTTCGCCACAGCGCCAGTACTTTTTATTCCTTCATGTCATCTTGCGGACAGTCTTAGCTGCGATGTCGCAGACATCAGAATTCCCATGAATGTAGCGCCATTGCCAAGCCTTCTGATCATTGGACTCTGGCTAGACAGGCTGCCGGGGAGCATCTTCTTACAGGCCTTGCTGCCGAAGTACATAAGACGTGTCTAGCGTAACATCATGTGCGTGCATCGAAGTATATAAGACGTGTCAAGCATAATCTCATGTGCGTGCACCGAAGTACATACTGTAAGACGTGTCTAGCGTAACATCATGTGCATGCACCGAAGTACATAAGATATTGCCCCCCCCACCCCCCACCCCAAATGACCCAAGCGCAAAAAACGCAAAAACGCTGGGCCGGTTTTCAGGCCGTAGGCATAAACAAGTGTAAGGTCAACGCCGGATTAGACCCTGATCAGGAGGTTCTCTCAAATGGTGATAATTTGCTCCTCAAATGGAATCCACCCAAAATCTTTCAGCGGTTTTAAGAGAAGTCCTGTGGCCACCAGGTAATATTATCAGTTCATTGGGAATTCTGGTGGGTTTCTCCTGGGAGCAGTCCTTCGATGGAGGCGGGAGAAGTTGCCGGGCCAGAAGACGGCGATGTGTTGTGTAGATTAGATGTGTCGAAAGAGTAAGCTGAATCCGAAAAGCAAGGAAAAACATAGATAAATGGGTTCTGAAGATGATTTTCCTGTTTGATATTGCATTTCCTGAAGGGTCCAGGTAAATTTCAGGAGTAGATTGGTGGTAGAGTGATTTTGTCAGGGCATTGGCCGACTGCTAGTTCACAAGATTTCACAAGTCAGAAATTTGTGGCACCAAAAGAAGAGGGAGAAGCGTTCGAAGAACGCATCACTGAAATCAAAATCTCTTACATGTAGTGTTGCTCAATATCTCCATGACAGCATCCTGAATCGTATCAATGAAACTTGATCAATCATGACACCGTTTTCATAGCTTCTGGCCATTCCCCCTTTCATTGTTGCTTATCCTCCCGGACTATTGGCCCATAGTTCCTTACATTCCGGAAAATCCTATTCCTTCCGGGTTTTTGCCATCATCAGCATGTGTTACTATCACCATGTTGCTGAGTTTTAACCGCCAAGACAGATGCTGTTCGTCCGTCGTACCAGGCGTGGAAGTGGTGGCATTGCGGACTTACAGGCCTCTCTGGACAGAAGTTGCCTTGGCATGTGCTGTGCGGAGTCCTGGGGTGCCGCAGGGGGAACAGTTGCTTTTATTTCTCGACAATGAATGTTAACCCCCTAGAAAATGGTTGATTAACTGTGGGGTGTCAAAGATTATATAAATAGTTAAATAGTGATAATCTATGATGATCTGCTACCAGAATAGTACCTCCCATTTGAACAAGCCAGGTGTTCACACAATCCAGTCCCCTATGGGAATTGCAGGGATACCCCCATAGATTTGTCCGAACTCCAACAGGCAGGAACAAGGGTAGTGCTAGTTACTGTACATCAAACTAACTATTTATTTGTGATATGTAACTATGGTTGACTGATATTTAATGGTTGACTGATATTCATATCACTTGCTTGGTGGCTGATATTCCTTTTGAGCTTGGTATTTAGAGGCCTGCATTTGGGTTTGCCCAGACATGGGTCTCAATTAGAATATTATCGTCTAAGGCCCAGTGGGTCATATTTCTCTCGCATTTTTACAGAGGAATTTGATTATCCTTCTATGTATCGGAGTATTTATTCAGAAGTGTATAATAATAACAATCGTAATAATAACAATAATGATATATATATATATAACTCCTCTTATAACTGTAATCTTTGATTGGTTGACTTCCCATCATGTTTTTGTCAGCTTGGCTAAGGGAAGAAAAAAAGTCTGGGATGTTCGTTGACTGTTTCAGGTGGTGGCCCTGATTCTCCCGGCCTGGCGAAGACATATCCTGGAGAAGGTCATTGTGGAGGAGACAAAACTCGGAAAATTGGATGTACCCTTTGGTAAACTAACATAGCTATGGAAAATCACAATTTTCAATAGGTAAATCAACTATTTCAACATAGCCATTTTCAATAGCTATGTTGAATTACCAAAGGGTATCGAAATATATTTATGCCACTATAAACACTGCAAATATTATGACATATTATGAAATATTATGAAATATTATGAGCTATGTATAAAATTGTATAAATATGTTTGTTATCTAAAGGATTTCGAAATGATTGAAACATCCGACCAAAAATATCAACCTCCGTTGACCCAAGATTCTATCTATTCTGTTTGTTTGAATCTGAATATTAGGAATTCAGATATGACTATCTTATCATATCTTATATTAGGTCAAGATAGAATAGATAAATCGGGTCAAAAAAAACTGATATGAGCTCTGGATCCCTCTGGTATTTTTTCACAGTTTGCCATCGAAAATTGTCTTTTTATATGCAGATGATTTATAGCTATGTCAGCTATGTTATATAGTTTGCTGGTGTGTTGGTGGGTATCTTATGTGTATACATGCCACTCAATATGAATATTAGGTCCATGTCGGGGTTGCAGTCAAAAATATGAACATTATATAATTATATATATATACTACATCGAAGCATATTGTAGTATTGTGTATGTAAATGTGTTTTATTGATGTGACAATAGATTCATGTATTTTTCTGTGCATATATGTATCATATCATATTTACAGGTGTTTACTGGGGTACGGGTCAAGAGTCAAGACCTCCAAACTTGCGTTTGTCAGCGGTTGTCCTATTTCGAACCATCCCTCAAAAAAAAAAGTTAATTAAATACTCAACATATTTCAGGAGCAAATGACTGCTCTATTGATTCTATTGTTTGAGCCGTTTGAGCTATTAGTTATCCCGTTGCGACAGGAGAAGAAGAGGGCTCACAAGGAGAGGCGCAGCCGAGAGCTGCGATAGCGCACATGACGATCATCTGCAAAGATGTGCATAATGTGCATATATATAATATGCATTATACATATATTGTACACGGTATATATATACATATCATTATATGTACCTAGAACGTCTACACATGCATGCATACACACCGTAGTTATATATCAATCTATGTTTATTATCCATATGATCTTGATTCTTGATAGTGAATTTTCGAGCACCGCGCCAATGAAATATAATGTTGATATGTGTGCAACCACTTCATCCAGCCGACCAGCTTGCAAGAGCGTGTCGGAAGTGTTGTTTCACCCTGGCAGTTTCAGGCCAAAGCGAGGCAACAAAAGTGTAGTTGGCTGTGATGGGTCATGATGGGTCAACACTTTTTAAGGATCCATGGGGACCACGGATGATCTTTTGGATAAACCATCCCATGTTGGTTGACTCATCGCATGCTTGATGGATTCTTGGGGTTTCATTGAAACTGCAATCAACTATGGACGGTTGTTCTCCATTTTTCTATATTTTTCTGGATGTTTGCCTGCGGACCTGTAACTGTCGCTTCGGCTGCAAAAAGCCAACAGGTCTTTCATCTGGGATTGATGCGGCAAGGTCATCCCAAAATCAGACATGAAAAATTGAAAAGATACAACCGTCCAACAGCAAAACGGCTACAGATCTCTGCAGATGTTGTCTCAGTGGCTGGAACTCTCTGAGATTTCTGGTAATTGCAGCCATTTTTGGCCTGGCAGCTAGTTCTTAGTTCGCCCTGATGTTCGTCACCTGCTGCCGTTGCACCGAAGGTGCCGATGGGGGCACCGAAGCCTGTGCAGATGATGAGGTGCTGCCGATCAGTGCTGTTCTGACCGCAGCCGGCATGGCCAAAAGTTCCACAGGGGCTGAGGCCGCAAAAAGCGACGAGACTCGAGTGGCAGATTCCAGCAAAAAGCTGCATGCCTGTGCCCGATCCCTGCGATCCAGGATTGATAAAGACAAGCAGGAAGTTTGGAAGAAGACAGCAGCTGAATTTGAAGTGCAAAAGATGATTTGGCAAAGCCTCAGTATGTGACTGGGCCATCGTTTGGGACACTTTGGGGCCATGTTTGGGACACTTTCTAAAGTTCCAGACCTTTTTTCCCACCTGAAAACCCAGACGGAATATGAATGGCAAGGCGGTCATCGTGAGTATAGCCTGTGTCAAAAGCAAGGAAACCACATCACACTGATTATCAGATTTTCAGTTCTATACTTCCATAAATGATCATAAATGCAGCCCCCCCAAAAGAAAGATGCCCCAAAGTCTTGCGGAACCAACAGGCCCATTGTCCGTCATTTTTTGTCCAGGAAAGGCGGCGAGAAGCTGAAAGGAATCGCTGCCATGATTGAGTCGAAAGTCGAGTACGCCATTGCCAGCCACACCAAAGATCTCGACTCCGCCATTGAAGCTCTGGACACATGCCTGGAGAAGAACAAAGGTTTCTGGGCACGAAAAAGACTGTAGAATTACACCCCAATAAATATTTCACATGGAGCCTTAAAGTTTGGATCCAACATGATCCAACAGATGGTTTTACTACTAAATCATGGCATGTTTGGGCTTCATGGTGTTCCATGATAAATTTTGGAGATATGGAAATGGTATATGTGTTTTTGTTTGGGGATAGCTGGGCGACGTACATCTCCGGGAAATCACAACATCATGAGCGTCTCAGTGATCCATGATGAACTTGTGAGGAACGAGACATGGTCTGGCTGGTGGTTACATCGTTTTCACATGTTTTTTTCCCACATGTTTTCACCATTCCATATTTAAGTGATGTTGGTCCCTCATTTCCACCGACCTTTTCATATTTTGGGGATCAACTTTCCACCAACTGTTGGCAAAAACAGTCGCGACACAAGGTCATGACCTCTTATCCGCGGCCATGTCGGAAGCCATCGAAGAAATCAAGAATTGCCCCAAAACTCTGGCCATGCAGGCGCCCTTTTTCGGGAAATTCATGGCACGGCCGGCCACATATCGCTGGGGGAACCCTGCGACTCAATGGTGTTTGTTGGTTACGCTTATTTTTTGGCTGTTCATGGGGAAATCGGCGTTTCACCAGCTGATTTTCGATGGATTTTTGGGTATATAGCTATGGTTTTCCACTTGTGGTGACTATGGTTGGGGTTCCAGCTGGTTTGATGTAAGCCACTCTCAATCTAAGCCAGTAGACCCTTCCAAGTCACGTCAGGAGTTGGCCTCACTGCTAGATAGCGCAGCTGAGGACGGCGCAAAACATGTGTGACTGCATAATGGGATTCGATGGGCAGAAATCTGGTGGTTTGTTCGTTTCACTATGTTCAGACTATGTTTAATCAAACCCCTCTTGCAAACACACATAAATGATCATAAATGATGGTATCATCCTAACCCAATTCTGGTAACCCAATACTGGTTGGTCTGGTTGGTCTGGTTGGTCTGGTTGGTCTGGTTGGCAACTATCAAGATCATCAATGATGGCTTTTTCGGGTGGTTTCCGCATGGGGAGGAGTTGGCCTCGGGCACCAAGTCCCGGAGCGCCACGGACGTGGATGATCCGTTGAAGCGCAGCGACCTTCAGGGCGGCAAGTTGGAGACGGCCATCCGTGGCGCCTGGTCGGCGGCCTACAACTGAAGTACTTTCCGGGGGGACCCGCTCAGTGAGGTCCATGGAAAATCTGTCGGTTGAGGTCCTGGTGATCCGGGATGATCCCGTGGCACAAGAAAAAAGGCCAAGTTGTGAGAAGTGGGCTTAGATGGGAAAATTTCTTGAAATTGGTGGGGGACTTTTCGGTAATTTTTGAAGGTGCTTGGCAGAACCCAGTGACAATCCCACTTGGAATCACATTTGGCCTTTGTGGCAGAGGCCCAACGCCGCAAAGATATTTTGAAGGTTGTGGCTACTAAATTTGAATTGGGTCCTATGTGCCCGCCCTTGAAGTGCAACGACGAAATTTTTCTGAATGGGTGGAAAAACATCATCGCCGCCCAGTGATGTTTAAACTTGCTCTTGGCACCACCCGTGCCACATCAGACCTGTGTTTCAACATCCAGTTTCACCGCTTCGACCAGAGGGAAGCTGTCGTCAAAGTCATCGGATGGTACCTCTGGGGGGTTCTTCCATCGGTGGGGATTCCTGACCGATCCTTTAGTCATGGAGGTGTGATCATGCTCTTAGATGCTCTTACTACGTGTTTATTTATGGTTTTATGTTTATTTTCTTCCGGGACTCTGGGAGGTGTGTTTGATCATGAAAAAATGATCATCCCAATAAGTAGACAGAGTTCATGAGATTTCAGCATCAGTTCATAGGATCGTGGCTTTTGACGTGGCTTTTGACTTTCACACAGGGCATCTACCTTGGCTTCAGGTGTAAAGCCAGTTTTTGGTGTTGCAAGTTCTGTCAGTCATGTATTATTTGTCAATTTATATTTATACAGTATACTTATTGATATATATATATATATATTTATAGAGAGAGAGAGAGAGAAAAAGAGAGAGATAGATAGATATATTGTATACTTATTGATTTATAACTTCATTTTGCACATTTTTTACATCCTGTAATCCCATTGGCTTTGGTTCCCCCTAACCTTTCCAATGGTCGCCACCCATCATGACCCACCCCAGGCGACTTCAAGAGTTTGGATGTCGATGGCTGACAGAGGGGAAAAAGTGGGCCAGCGTAGGTCGAGAACTGTCTTGGATGGGTACTTTATCTTCGTGTGCATCTAAATGAATAAATGAATAAATAATAAACGAATAAATAAATAAATAAACGTATAGTTTTGATATTTAATATTTAAACAGCTATAGTGGGGATACCCGACTGGGTAAGCTTAGTGCAACTTATTTGTTTCCCAGTTTTACGCGGATATATACTACATGACTTTGTCAAATCCCTGTAGCCAGCTTGAAGAGAGGGAAAAGAATGCGACACTCCCTTGTTTCGGAGGGATGTGCTTGTGATTCTGGGAAGTTATATAATATAACGCAATAGTTTATAGCGAACAGTCGAAAATACAATGTTCCCATTTTTGCTCGAGCCGAACCTCCGAGTTTTTTCGGGTTCAACCCTTATTGTTTGGGTCGATTTTGATGACTTCACCAGGACGTTCGGCCTTCCGATTTTGTTAATGACCAAGGTGAAGCAATCCAAAATCACCTGATGTTCCGGCGTGATGAACTATATTGAAAAAAACAACACTATTTCAGATCTATCTCAGCGAAAAGCCAGGATTGATGTGTTTTAACTTCCGGCAGTGCTGATGTGCCGACCAGAGAAATATATATTATATAATATGGCGTTTCTGCACCTGTTGACTGAGCCTCTACTTCATTCATGTCCACTGAAGTTTCGAGTGCGGAAAGGTGCTTCCAAACCAGAATGATCCAGATATATCCAGCCTGCAGCTTATTTCTGATCCGACTCTCCTGCCCAAACACGGCCGAAGCTCTCACTGGTCCAAACCTTCAGGACAACATGGCTCACATCATGGCTGCGGTCCAAGTTTGCATTCAAAAATGGTGCAAAAGGTCCAGGAATAGAAGGAATATGCCGTGAACTGCCGTGAATTTTGGGCCTTGATCATCTGATAATTTCCCTGGCAATGGTATTCACCCACTGCATCTACACTCTCCCGTTGCAGTTGGTAGTGATTCATCACAGAATCATCCCTGGCACCCGGAGATTGCCACGGCTTCAACTGGATACACGGAACCAAATCTCAGGCCTCTTTCGTGCGGTGATGGGGACATATATGGGGACCTGGATCAAGTTCTTCACCAAGTTCTTCAAATCCAAAAGATCCGGGTAAAAATACTTCAGCTAGGTCCATCTTAATCTGGTTGGTGGTTTGGAACATGACTGGATTATTGTCCATAATATATGGGATAATCCTTCCCATTGACTTTCATATTTTTCAAGATGGTTAAAACCACCAACCAGTAATGTATCAACAGACTTTGTATCCAAAAGATCTGTTTCTATGGCTTCTCCAACAGAAGAGTGACTCACATAAGAAACCCGTAAAGAAATGA